AGCTGAATGGAAATGGTCTGGCTGCTCCCCAGGAACCACAGGCATTGCTTCTGCCATTGTCTGGGGTTCATGAAGGAGCATGCAGCACGTACTTAGGGAGGTCTCTGCTTCCAAGCCCTGGAGTATGCAGGGGTGGAAAGAAGGCCTTACTTTCCATTTAAAATGCCCTTATTCTAGAGGGGTACTCAACCTTAGCAGGCTAAGGAAATTTAGATTTTTTTTAAAGCCTCTTAAATACATCCCTACCCTTTCTTTTTGCATTGGACTCAAACACAAGCCCATGGGGAAACTAGATTTCCCATTCTCCAGACTCCACATTTATAAGACTAAAAGGCTGTTGTTAGATCCCTGTCTCCCCACAAGTTCCCTTTAGTAATTTTGGCCAATAGCTAGCAAAAGTTCCCTCCTACTAAGCCATCAGASGTGTAGGATTTGCAGGATTCTGGAATGAATTGGTCTTAGTTGAAACTTGTAAATCAATCAAGATCCTGGCTACAGGGTACCAATGCCCACAACTCAGATCTTGACCTCTCAGGAAGATTTAGCCCTTCATTTCAATGCTTGAAAAGAACATTCATATCCTTAACCTTCCTTTTAGAGAAATCATTGTTTTATCAATTTTTATTTTGCTTTAAAGCAATGTTGTTTTTAAAAGTTTTTATTCTAAAAGAAATTCAAATCTGGTTCTGACTAGTGGGAATTTTCCTTCAGCCAAACCTGTTGGTTGTGCTTGAATCTCTGCCAGTATGGGGGCTATCACTACAGCACTTAAAACTTAATAGTAGCTAATAAAATCATGAAGAAAAATCATAAAAGAGAATTACAAACAAAATCATCAAAAAAGAGAAAAAATGATTTGACTGTGATGAAAATCACCCTCTAGAGACCAGAATAGAAAAAAATTTGCAGACATAAGCTTATGACAGCAGAGATACTTGACAGATATAAAAGTTGTTTTTCCTCAGTAGGTTTAACTTACCCGTTTCCATTCATCAGTTGTTTTTAAAATTGCAGGAAAGTTAAGTACAGTTGGGAAAAAGAAAAATTCAAAATTACCTCAATGACCCAAATCATAAGAGGTTGGAAAAYGATTTTCCCTTTCCGGAGCATTTATTTTATTTTTTCCATATTTTTTTTATTGGTCCAGTGTATTTATTTTTAAAGCTGATGGAATCCTCGAGAACACATTGCTTTCACATTTGGCTTATTTTTTAAGTGGTTTAGCTAATGTATTGACAGTGTGGTTGTATTGATGAAATAATTACATTAGAACTCTCATACCTCGAGATTTTAAGGTGTGATCACATCACATAACAAAATAGAGAAGCAGAATCAGAAATTAGAGTTGGTTGTTAAGTTTTTGACTATGTTTGTTCTAACTGCTTAAATACTGCAGCATCTCTATTTTTAAGCACTTCATCCATGGCTACAAGTCCAAGATCATTTTTTTCCTCTGGTTCTCTTAACTTGTTTATTTTTGGAATGTTTCGGCCAAATCTGTTCCAACTTTGACCTTTGGGTTCTTTTTCTTTTCTTTTTAGGGAAACAACTATGTATACCTTTCCCAGTATTAAACATACACACGTATTCACATGCATGATAAACAATTCCCAGACTTGCTTTTCTGACAAATAAATCAGTGCCAGTACATCTTTGAAATGTCAAACTTCTCATTCAGCCTGAGACCTGTTGCTCTCCATGTGTTTCTTTGACAACATCTCAGATCTTAATGATTGGCATGGTTCCCAAGTGTCAGAATGCTGAAAAGTACAAGACACCTATTCAAACTTTTCTGTCCCTGCAATTACTGCAGATGCTTTTTTTATTTTATTTTTCTGACTTCTTGGAAGATTTACTACTCTCCCAGACTTTTGGCCTCCCAGGAAGGTCAAAGAGCTTCAAGTTAGTTTACTTTCCCTCAACTCTCTTAAAACCAAGGTGCCACCAAACCTTTTCCCAAGATCACTTAGAAAAACACAGGACTGTTTTATTTTATCTTACAAGCAATACTCAGGCATGCCCAAAGGGTAAGTCCCAAATGCCTTACTGCCTTAGAAAGGTGACATTTTGTTACGATTGTAACTTTAAACACATTATTCTTTAGAGACCTTATGGCATAAGGACTTGGTTTTGGCATCAGAGAGGCCTGAATTCAAATCATATCACTTACTTCCTTTGTAAACATGCATATTATTGTACTTCCTAAACTTTAATTTGTGTCCTCATATGTAAAGTAGAAAGTGGCAATATTAAAAATATAGACTTCTGTAATTCAAGAGCAAGTGTGTTTTAGAGGAAACGAGCAAGAATATATTCAATTACATGACAAGAAGGAGACTATTTTTCCTTACCTATTCATCTTAAACAAAAAGTTTTAAAAAATAAAAATTAAGAAATATGTCAGTTGGATGCACATTCCTATAACCCAAGTGACTCAGGAGGCTGAGACAGGAGGATCACTAGTTCAAAGCCAGCCTTTGTAAAAGCCAGGTGCTGAGCACCTCAGTGAGACCCTGTCTCTAAATAAAGTAAAAAATAGGGCTGGGGATGTAGTTCAGTGGTTGAATGCCCCTGAGTTCAATCCCTGGTACACCCCCCGTCAAAAAAAAAGAAAAGAAAAGAAATATGCCAGTAAAGTAKGAAATGTGTGCAATAGAGGATGCTCTGATGATGTGCTATCCCACGTAAACCAAAGCATTGTGTAATACACAGCTCATTCTCCCTCTAAGACAGTATATGGGTCAGGTGTACCTCTAGGCCCCTGCTATAATTTTTACCTATATAGATGTTACACATAACCTAAAGCTTGTCTGTTACATGATAAATTTCCAAATTTTAACATAATAATGTCAAGAATGACCAAGTTGAAGTTATTCCCTAGCCTTATGTGTGTGGTGTACGTGAACTACTCATGGAAATTTGCTCTGGGGAATAACATATTCATTAACAATAGTATTTTGACCAGAGTAGCAGATTCTGTGTCCAACACAAAAGGACTTTTGAATGACAGGAAAAAAAAAYGTCTTTTATCATCTATTCTTAAGTCCTTATCTGGGAAATGACTATCCAGTTAGGAAATGATCCAGATGTGACAATTTGTCAATACATACTATTTATTTTTAGCATTTTACAGAGACAAATAAAAATAAGAAATTCATATCAGTCTACCAAGTGGGTTCTGGTGATAGAGACAAATAAAGACATGATATTCACATCAGTCTATCAAGCAGGTTCTGATGGGAGGGAGATAGATGAGAACATCTGATTTTTCAGTGGGCTCAGAGATTTTCCTCCAGATAGTCTCCCAAGTCTGAATCTGACAGCTCTCCAGACTACAACTAATGCAAACTAATCCCAGGCTAGTAACTCATTCAACAGGTCCAGCATCTAATTCACCACCTATTTCCTGTACCTTCTTCACCTCCACCTGCTAATACCATCTGTGGTTCTTCTCTTCTAAATGGATACTGTCAGATTCACCTTGGACCCTTTCCTCCTGCAATCTCTTCTCTGACCCTTTGTCTTTCCCTAACATTTGACCTTCCACTCTCTTACTTCTCTCAGCGAAGTAGGGCACTTCTTTTCCCCCATGCATCTCTGGGAATAAGCTTCTTCGTTTTCTCTTCCTTTCAATAACCATGCATATACACACCCTTGCCTCTAACTTTTTGAATCCCTGTGTGCAAGCCCTGTCTCTACTCTAAAACTGGATCCCTTTGTCTTTTTTTTTTCATTTATAATTTTATTTTTTTATTGGTTGTTCACAACATTACAAAGCTCTTGACATATCATATTTCATACATTAGATTGAAGTGGGTTATGAACTCCCAATTTTACCCCAACTTAATACACTTTCTTGTTATGAAGATCAGGAGATCCATCCAGTCCTATTTCCTGCCAATCCCTAGCCCACTCCTTTTGCCTTTTTTTCCTTTAATAATGTCCCTGCGACTTTCTCTCCTACAATACCCAAATCTAATGTTTGTCTACATCTGTCCTCAAATTTGTTCAAAATACCTCAGAAACTACTTACCTCTTCTGACTCTACTCTCCTTGCTATCTACCCTCTGCCCTATACTGTATGAACATTAGTCCTGTGATCCTGGAAGCTCCATGTGCTAAGTAAGAGCATCTATACTTTAATTCCCTTCTCCTCCCTTCACCTCCTGGTTCCTGAGTCCTCCTTACACAAGGGACATAGAAAGAGATCAACAGTTAATAGCTGTGCATGGGAACTGAAGTTTAACCCTTCAGATTCTAATCCACACCTTTTACTCCTGCTTTGGATAAACAGTACATGGCAACATCCCTAACTTTGCCACATCATAATCACACAGGGTGGAGATTTACTACCAAGTCATTTTAAATACCCAAGATGCCTTTGAGAAAGACCTAAGTAAAATCCCCAAGGCTTTCTTTATTAGCTGCCTCTTAGGTAGGGAGGAGTTAAGGGAGGTGGGGATTGTGGCATTTCAACTTTAAACTCCCAGTCACAAACGTGGAACCCTGAGTCCTCAGGCTATAGAAAAGTTAGATGCGAAGATACCAGTTTTACTCCGCCCTTCCCACTCTTCCATTCAAGCGGTGCAATGGGAGGAAACTGGCGCAAACTGTCTCCCACTTGAGAAATTAAAACAACGGCTGGCGGTGGCATAAGGGAGACTCGCATAGCATAGTCCTCGCAATGCAACCGCAATAGAAAGCCGGCAGCCCCAACCAGCGCCACACGTCCATCCAGCCTACCAGGGAAACCTCGGGGTCTCCGGCTCCGGTTCGCAGCCAGAGAACCGGCCGCTAGGAGGCGCCGCGAGCGCGCCACCCCCGCCCGCTGCTGGAGGAGGGCTAGCGCCTGATCCCCTCCGCCAACCCCCTAGCCCGCGGGGCAGGCAGGCGGGACCAGACACGGGGACTGTCACCGCGGACGCGCCGCTCCTACCGACCCGGGACTCGAGCATCAAGGGAACTCCAGGCGCCACCCCACCATTTGTCCCACCGGAGTCCTTGGCTCCCGCTCCCCAGTGAGCAGCATCAGGCAGAGGGCGATGTCTGCTGGGGCCCGCCGCGGTCCCCAAGGCGGTCCCCGGAGGAACCGGGCGMAGCATTTCGCTCCCCTCTGGTGTTTCTCGGTCGGGTTGGGGATGCTGTGGACCCCTGCCTCACAGGCGTTCAACTTGGACGTGGACAAACTCACCGTGTACAGCGGCCCAAACGGCAGCTACTTCGGCTACGCAGTGGACTTCCACATACCTGATGCTCGCACGTAAGTCGCTCTCCTGGGGGAGGTGGCACGCGTGCGCGAACCCACTCACAGGTCGGGTCCCTGCCCCTCTGCTGCTAGCACCCGAAGGTCTCCYGAGCTCGGAAAGGCAGCCTCTGAGGTCCCACCTCACTGCTCACCGGGGCTTCCGTCCCGTTTTCGGCTCGCCATCAGCCTTTTCTTTCCCTTTGCACGCTAGATGTGTCTTGTGAACTTTGAACTAGAGAAATGCCACTGCAAAGAACTCCTGGTTCAAAGACTCAACTCCTGCATAYCATAAAGGAGAGAACGGGACCGAAGTGAGCCAGTTAAAATGGTTAAAACAAAAACCCAATATGGTGCAAGTGCTGCTGGTTGGCTGCAAGCACCTGGRCTCCTGTCCTCTACTTTCTCCCCATGGACTCTCATCTCACTGTATCTACATAGCTCCACCTAGAGAAGAATTAGGACCACTCGCACCCTCTTCCAAACCAGGTTTCTGACGCCCATTTATTTCCAAGAGGAAATCAACCTTAACACTCTCTCCATCATAAATATGCTTCTGCCCTCCACCCCTACTCCAGTCTCAGTAGACACGCAACTCGCGAGTGCAAAGCGTGCGCACAGTTTTATGATTGCCACCAGGTGACCTTTTCCAATCCTTTCGCAGAGCAAGTGTCTTGGTGGGGGCACCCAAAGCCAACACCAGCCAGCCGGATATCATGGAAGGGGGAGCCGTCTATTACTGCCCTTGGCCGGTGGAAGGATCTGCACAGTGCAAGCAGATACCGTTTGACACCACCAGTAAGTGCTATTTGTCATTCTGGACTCTGGGCCCTGGTTTGAAAGAAACAGAGCAATCCTGGAGTCAACTTCCCACTTTCTTTGTATTCAAAGTCCTGTTCGACTTTTCGGTATTGCGGACGGTGCAGGTTAGAGAAATAAGTTTTCAACCCTGAGTGAAAATGTTTAGTGAACCCTTAGAGAAGGAACGGTATCTGACCTTGAGTGTTTAGTTGCATCCAGGTAATTTTTTTTTTCTTTTTTCCCCTCTGCTGTCCAGAGGTGAGCATTTTTAGGGTAAGTGGATGTTTTGGAAAATACAAAAGTTACATCTTAACCTAGACCATGAAGAGAATGTGGTTGCTTCCCAAGGACTAACCYGGGAAAAGACAGATTCTTAGCCCAGTTCCAAACTCCAGAGGCAAGACTTAGCTGACTTAGCTGCAGCAGACCCAGACATCACTCCATGTTGCTGTTTAATTCTTTACAGAAAGAAAGAATTTTCTTTCAAAATATTGGACATTGGATGCAAACTAGTACAGGGAGAGTGTGGATGGATTACATTCATTTCCAAAATCCCTAGACAGATGTTTCTTATTTAATTAAAGGAAAAATACATTTTAAACAATTCAGTCTGGTTACGTTTCCTCTGTGTTTTCTCTTTGGGTTCTGAGAAAATAATTTAAATGTAATGTGTTCAAAAACATTAACACTGAATGTTTTAATTTTTACCACCAAATTTTTATGAATTCAAATGATATGTATTATCAGAAAGCTAATYACTTTCCAGAAAAATGTGAATATGTCAGTTCAAATAACCCTTTGATGACCAATCATTTAAAATCCCTTGTGCACTGCTCAATTATTTTATAACATCATTCTTTGTGTATTTTGTTGGTATCCTAGTATGCATTCATAACTTATGTAGAATGTCCATTTTAACAGAATTTTGATGAAATCCATTGGGTGGTATTTACTTGTTAATTTATACCTTTTATGCTACGGAGAAAAAGTATTTCAGTTTTATGAATATGGAAATCATTTTTAAAAAATTCTGTGCAAGAATTATCTTGACTTATGACCAAACTAAGAAAGTCTTCCATAAAAGCATTTTTAAATTATATTTTTCATGCCTGTCTATATATGGTCATAATAGCTTATTTGATGTTTCATTAAATAATTCAGTTATTTCATAACCAAGTTTTATAAGATTTTTTCTTTTAAATTTAAGGATTGATAATGGAAAAATTAAGTTGCTTAATGTTACTTTATGACAGAAATTCTTTAATTAGTTGTTTTATCAGGCTTGAGATGCCTCCTAGTTATTGACCCTTAGTTTAAAAATAAACTTCCTAAATCAGAAGAATTGATCAGTTAAGCGTGAAATTAATGCCATTTTAATCATTCATGCCCAAATCCTTTGAATTTTTAAAAATATTTAAAATTCAGACCTTGACAAGTAAAAGCATCCTTGACATCAATTGAATTTACATTCAGGAAAATAAGTGTATATTTTTGACACATTCAGTTTGTTTTCACCAAGAAACAATCTATAGTCATGGAAATGATTTTAATAACCCACCTAGGACATTTCTTAGCATATCAAGTCAGGATCTAGTTGGTGTAGTTTTCCTTTGTTAAATGGAGAATCAATGTCTGCCCAGATAAGTTACACCTGAACAAACACCTTTTATACCCCCAATCCCAGTAATGCCATGATTCAGTAGATTAAAAACTAGAAAATCCAGGCATTAGTATGAGTTTTTAAAAACTGACCACTCCTAACCAAGATTTTCTGGTGTTAAATCACAACAGGAAAAACTTTCCGARGTTCATTCTAAAGCACTTGTTTGGAACTTTGAATTCACTTTCCCATAGAAAACTAATGCTGAAAAATTGGGCTTTGGTTTCTAGAATAGCCTACAGGAATGCCTTTCACCCTTACTGTAGCTGAATTATATTTGCAGTGAGAAAATTGAGGATAAACCTGTACAATTTCAGCAATTAAATGAATAGGAAAACAATGTCAAGGAAAGATCAATATTGCTTGGAGAAAGATGGAAGTTGGGGTAGATGACTCTTACGCAGGTTCTGAAAAAGACAGTTGGATGTCTCTCTCAAAGGGCTTCAGAGATTGATGCTGCTGGCTCTATACTAGATCTTACTTTGAAATGTGTAGAGTTTTTCTTGACAGGTAGACAGATGCATCGTACTAATATCAACTATCATTGTAGTAATTTAAGGACTCATAAATGGAACAAAGTGGGAGGGGGCAGGAGAGAGAAAGATATTCCTGAAATAGTTAACTGAGCAGGAATTTCCTTAAAAAAAAAAGAAGCAGCAGCAAGGCAGGAAGGCTATACAAAGTTTGTAAGAAATGAATGGTTCATGATGGAATGAACAGGGCAGTGATCTGTGGAAAAGGGTGTCTCACGAAGAGAGGTGGGAAATTTTTCTTTGGGAAAAGAAAGTTCTCCTCCTTAGCCATCAGGGGGTACTGTGGGCCCAGAAACCTTGGTTGCTGCTGGGAATGGCCTGGAAAAGGCAAGATGAAAAGGAATCAGGACCACAGCTGGGTGCTATTGAGTGGGTGCCAACACTTGGTACCCCATTTACACCAGTTACTTTATCCACATGTCCTGAGACAATGGAACTGGCTGTGAAGGTGAAGAAGGACCAGCAGAAACCAGTAGAGCTGGCTCCAATCAGAGCAGGCACTTTTGTGGGCAGAGTAGAATCTTGGAAAGATAGAAATGGACCTTGCTGACTCTGGGTCTTGCACTCAATATTGCCAGTCGTATCCCATTTATTGATTACTACCATGTACCAGTCACTTGGTATATGTAATTCCTAATCTGTAACACGAATAAGGAAACTGACTTCAAGGGTCTGGTCCAAAATCCTACAATGGCATGATTGAGATGGAGGTCTGCCTACTCCAAATCTAGCCTCTTCACCTTGCCTCCCTCCCAAAGATGGAGAGAGGAGTAGTTCTCATGGCATGCAAGTTCAGGGTTGTGACAAGATCATGAGGAGCCCCAACAGGCACTGTGCCCCTTTCCTGACTTTTCTCCATCCACCATCACCCCAAACTCTGGCTCTAGATATTCCAACAGAAGTGCCCCTACAGAAAAGAGCTGCAAATGAGGAACAGCTCTGCTAGGAAAGTTGTAGAAACCAGAGGTTTAGAAGCAAGGTTTAGAAGTTTGTCTTGGTTGTGTATGTCTCTGGTTTGCTCAAACTCCCATAGAATCATCCCCAGAGTCCCCTATTACGTCCAGAGTTACTCTCTGCCCTGTGGCAACAATTCACTGTTTCCCTAAAGAGAGGAAACAAATGTCCCTGCTTGACAGTGTAGTGGCTCTGACTGGTGAACACCGACAAACTGACATCCACAGAACAGTTTGTGATGTGCAGCACAGTATATATATAATGTTGATATTATTCCTCTGTGGGGATATCTGTGACTTTTGCTGTCTTGTACCCCGTCTACTCTTACTATCATGTCTGAATTCAAGACGTGCCAAGTAGGTTAACCTTTTAATAAAGTTGTTTCAACTTGTTCAGGCCTCTTGGGTGTCTGTAATTTAGCATTTTGTTGGAGTAACCAACTACATTTTCTCAGCCTAGATACTAAAGTAGATGGRCCTATAATTTAGTCCCTGAATCTGGCTGTGATCCTGTACCTCAATTTAAGATCAACCACTTTTGAAAAACAAATAAGCTGTTAGTTAAATTTTTCATTAAATAATAATGATTTACAGCTTATCATTTAGCTTGGATTTCTGGGAGGTTTTTATTATTATTTTTTTAATTCAAAAAGAGAGGAAGCTTGGACTTTGCCTAGCATTTCAAATGCATGAATACTATTAAATTCTGCTCCTTTCAAGTAAGGAAAAGGGAAATTTTAAGGAAGCATATGGTGGTGGGGGAGGTGCAAAGAGTAGATAATTTTCCTGCTCTGCACAAAATCAAATGGTTCCAAAAAAGCACTTCTCTCGTCTCCCTTCTGTCTTTCCCTCGTACTTCAATAGAACAAAATTCCTCCCATCACCAAATTGATTTCTTTCACTTTTGCCTCAGGAGCTCTCTGAACTATGCTGTATCTTAACCAACTTAAAACATCACATCTGCCCCATTCATGCCTCTAGTCGCTAAGTCTACTCCAACATTTATTTCTTCTTTTTTCCAACACTTCCCAAACCCATGTGAAGATTAAATAAGGATGGCTAGATTACAACCCTTCTGATAAAAGGGGGAAAGAATGAAAAAAAAATGAAACAGACACTTCATTTTTGGAATAATGAATGGGTGATTTGCAACAATAATAGCCAAAGCAGAGTACATGAAATATTTGATTGTTTTCAATGCTCAAATGGCACATTTGGAGGAGGAAGATAATGGCATGTGCTAATAGATGATGATAATCATCATAGCACTGACATCAGCAGAGTCAGTACAGCTGGGATACATGCACAATTAGGGACCCACATAAAAAGGGAACAGGAAAAAAGCTGGGAGGTGCCATGAGATTTGGAAGTCATCTGAGAGACACTACTAGAATTAGCCTGGCCTTAATTTAGTATCTTTGTGCTTAAAATAAGTAAATGAAAAACCCCTTCGAATGGAAGATGATTTGGTTAGGACGTTTCAAAGCTCCAGAACGGTAACATTTTTGTTGGAATTGTGTTTTAGCTTGGAGACCGGAAGCCTTTGTTTTGGGGGTTCTGTTTTATTTTGTGTCGAGTAAGCCCACAATAAGAAGCAGCTCACAGCATCTGTTTCTGTGACTGGTACAGGACTGGTTTTTGATAGTATGGGGTGTGCCCTCTTTCTCATGTGAGGGTTGGGAAACATATTGGTCACATAAGTCTTGCTTTTTCTGACTTGCCCAGAAAGAAATTAGGTTTTGTTTGGGAACAAAGAAAAGAAAAAAATGTAGGTCAGAGCTACTCAAGTAGATGACAGAAGAAATAATATAAATGTGATAAGATTCAGGAACAGCAGAAATCTGTGGTCCA